ATCCAAATATCACTTTAATCAACAGGAGAGTGTTAGATTCAAGGGGGCTTTCAAAGAAATCTTGAACTGAAAGCCTAAGAGATTAGAAAACTAAATATTTTTCTGATCTTTTGAGAAGACTATGGAATGCTTTCAGATGTGAAATGAGATAAAGAGACAGTGGTAGTCTTCAGTGGTAGCCAGCCAAATTCTTCCCAGTTTTCCCAGTCATTGCTGATCACTCATAGTGTCAAGCAGTTAAACAAAAGAAAGTTGAGGCAAAACTCTGGGAGTACTTGAACTGCATGACCTGTCCTCATGTCAGCCATGGCCACTAAAAGCTTGTTATAGACCCCAAGTATCTTCTGTGCTTCCCTGTTCATGCACTAGTTACCCTGGAGGTGGGTGGTAGATGTTTGGGCTAAAAAGGACCCTAAATTGCTCTTAGTAACTGAAGAACTATGCCTGAGGAGTCACTGCCAGACTCCCAGAGACCCAGACTGAATTATTGGCATCATTATTGACTTAATGTCTATCTGCAGAAAGTTCATATAAGGAGGTATTAAATTATGATCCTTTTTCCTTTTGCAAAGTTGGAAAAAATATCCATTTCGCAGGAAAAAAAAACCAAAAGGAGAAAAAAAAAAAGAAAAAAACGAAAAAATAAGACTCTGCACACATTTTGTACTTAGGTACTCATCCATACAGTTAAAGCTTCGAGCTTTAAGTAATCCACAACACAAAAACCTAGGCAATCAATATTAAGGAGCTACTATCTCATTTTCTGACTTATTCCTGCCCAAGAGGGTTAACTATGTACACAAGGAAAAACAGGCATTTTCAGAGGTAAATCTTTCTTGGTCATTCAGTTATTCAGATTAATGGCTACCTTAAAAGGAGAGAAACAATTTAAAAGGTATGATCACCTTTTGGCTCAAATCTGATAGAAATGTTGAGTGATCCAACACTTCTGAAAACAAAGTGACCCATAATGTTTTACACCATCAATATGAAAGTGACTGAAGTTGAGAGATTTGTTGCAGAGGGGCCACAGTAGGAACTTGATTACAGGACCCATACCTCTGGAGAAGACAGGTGAAGAAAGTTATTTTAAAGCCAGATGAGTTCAGAGTGTAACTACACAAATTGCAAAGAGTTGGAAAATCAGGGAAGATGCTGAGAGCAGCATCTGTTCCTGTATGTATCATCCCAGACAAAGCCAAGGATGGGGAGATACCATCTAGAACTTGCAAAGTGTTCTGGTTGGCATGTGAAATATATTACACTAAATGGAAACGACATTTCTTGGTGATAAATCTCCTTCATCTGTTGCTCATGTTTCCTGTTAATCAGATTGCAGAAAATTCCTCCTTAAAATTACAAGAGCTCCGCTGACAGCAGTTTGTTACCTTCTCATTTTTAAGGAAAAAGCTGCTTGAAAAGTTATGTGCACACCTACATAAAACATTGAAGTTAAATGTCAAAATAAGAAAGATCACAACAACCTGTCATTTTTTTGTGTATATTATGTAAAAGTGAGGGTCTTGAATCAGCATTTAACAGCAAAGCTTCAAATCACATCCCAAAATACTAATGCACTACAAGCATAGAAGACTTGTGACAAAAGAACGATCCAAACAGGAAAGCATTGAAGATATGTACTTATTCTAGGCTTCTCTTATGTGAGACTAAAAAGAGCCCTAAAATGACCATAACTGTGAAATAAGCAGGCTTAGCTTGCTCTCCCTCTTCTTATCCCCAAGCCTGGCTTTAAAAGGCAGTAGCCTGCTTCTCCTGGGAAGTCCTTTCAAAGGACCAGATATTATATGTCAAGAGAGACTAGTTAATACACCCACATTACCTAAAGATACGGGATGTAGATGGCCAGAGTTAATTCAGGTGTTTTTCTTAAGCAGATGAAATTGCAAGGAGCAGAATTCAATGTTTGCTTTTTTTTTTCTTTTTGATATTTTTGATTAACATTTATGTAGACCAGGGAATGAATGGGCAGTATTCAGAGTGTTTACAAGTAAGCAGATATTTTGCTGAGTATTTAAAAAAAAAAAAAAAAAAAGGTCAAATCTAAGCAGAGGGATAATTTTTAGCATCCCTCCCATCTAGGGAAGGTAACTAGATAGTATCCTATAACAATAGAATAATATATCTTTTTGCTTGTTTGGTACACACCTAAGAATGTGGCTTTTTTCTTTCTTTCTTTCTTTCTTTCTTTCTTTCTTTCTTTCTTTCTTTCTTTCTTTCTTTCTTTCTTTCTTTCTTTCTTTCTTTCTTTCTTTCATTCATTATTTTGTAATTTTTTTTTAACCTTTTGTATTCCTGGTAGGGTCAAGATCTGCCATAATATTTGGAAACTTCTCAGAACAACAGATATTTTCATGCTTTTTGGATAAATACCTTGACCAGGTTGTATTTATCCCATTATAAAGACCATCTGTTCTATTCTTAGACAACATTTACATTTACATTATATTATTTAACTACAGAACATACTCATCATCTTGACTGGAAAATGGAAATAGATGATAGGATCACCAAAACCCAAGTTTATTGTTTTTTTTTTTTTTTTTTTTTTTTYACTGAAATCCAAAGTCATGATGTTGTAAATCTSGTAGCAATGATATGAGGTCCTGTGTATTAGCTTCAAACACAATCCATCCTGTCCATGACAATAGTACACTAGATACATCATTCATCAATTGCTCTTCTTTGATGCCCAACTTCTCCATCATCTGCTACACTTGCCTTACCCATAGCAGATACTTCCAACTTTAATCCTTGTGTACCTATTCTCTTCTTTCTATCACATAGTTCAAAGTTCCTCTGCCATAATATTAGCATGCCATATGTTACCATCTGTTCCAAGCAGAGCGTCCATAGGAAGTGGAAAAAGTATTTGTGCAGATTCAGACTTTTATTCAAACTTGACCATACTCACACTGAATGCAATACCATCTCCTCACAGAAAGCAGAAATGAAAAGGCTTTTCAGAGCACAAATTAGAGAAATCATTTAGAAAAATCAAGATATATGTGGTACATCAGTAGCATCATTTTTAACCGTGATGCTATTCATATATAAATTTGTGTAGGAAAGGCTGAACAAAAGCCATGCCAAAGGCATCAGCTGGCAAAAAATATTTTCACTATCTGATATGAAGTAGAGTGATTTATACAACTGTTATATTAAACTGCTAAAATATTCATGCATCCACACATAAAATAAGCTACAGCTATTTACCAGCCTTCATTATCAAAATGAAAAGAAGTACTTGCAAATAYCTGCATGTAAGTTCTAACAAGATCTGGGTTTGGTTTTGATTTTTTTTTAATACTGCAGAACAAGCTCTCTACATATCTGTAGGAGGAAAGAGATCTCTRCATACTTGCATTGGATAGGCATCCTCCCCAAAACAGCTTTGAATAGTAGAAAGTCTGCCAGGGAAGCATACTCAGTGTGTGGGAAGAACAATCTGCTTTCTATTGGTTGTAATAAAGCCAGTAGCATCTGCTGTTCAGCAACACTATCACCACTACTCAATTGCTTAGCAACATTTCTCATTTCCAAAATCATTTTCTGAGCCTCCTATTAGCCGTTTATCTGTTTGAACAGAAGTGACCACATGAGATCACAAAATTCACTATCGAACTGAATTCAAGACTTATTAAATAGTACTGCTATTAGAAATGGAACTAGTAAATCTTCCTCTTAAGTCAATATGAGCAATCACTTACAGCAAGATGAATATATTCAACTCCATTAATCCAAGGAATAATGAAATCAGACAAACTTTTCCACAGCACTTCTCTTTAATCATATACTCTTCTCTATACTGAATAAAACTTTAGGCTCTACCTCAGCTTAATGAAAAAATGAAAGCAATATAGTACATAACTTTGATTTTTCTGGATATCAAATGAAGTATAAGTACATGAAGATTCAGGGAGACTGCCTAATTCCAAAACCAAGCRCCAGATGTGAGAAGTGGTTATAATGCTTCATGGAGAACTTAAAGGAAGGTCAGAGAAAATACTGTTCTAAAAGAGCTGGGACAATTATCTTCAAATATTAGTCAGAACCACAGGTCTTCCAGTGTTTAGGTCTCTGTGGCTCAGATGTTAAACAAGAAAACACACTGTTTCCTCTAGTTTCAAAATATGGTTTGGATCTCCTCTGCTCTGCACTAGAGAGGCCAGGTCTTTCTTACCCATCATAGCTAATAAAGCCAAGGAAGTTCAAAGACATTCTTAGATGAAAAAAATAAGTCTCTTACCTTCAGTATGCACAGCAGAAACATAGGTCCAGTTATAGCGCTTGACAATGTCCACCATAGCCCGTGCTTGCTGTGCATCAGATGGCACAACTCTCATAAAATACTTGAATAGGGTTTTGTCACTTAGGTCCATGCTTGTGGCAGAATATGCAATCTGAGGTATATTGAAAAGCTGCAACAAGTTCTGGACCTGGATAGCAACTGAGCTAGAGCCAGGTCCAATGACACCAACAATCGGCTTCTTGGAGCGGAAAGATGATGAGGATCCATCCACACATCGCACCAACCCTTCCTCTTCTTCTGAGGAAATAAGAGAGTCCCTTATAAACTCAATGCTCTGCTCCAGAGCCACAGCAGAATGCCAGCAGGAGTCCCTTATTTCACATCCTAGAGTTATATTTGGCAACAGTGTGGGGTCCAAATTAATTCTGTCAAGGGTATGCAGCATTGCTTCCACCCTCTGAATGCCATATTGCTCTCTTACCTCTCCACATTTCCTCTCATGAACCTTGTCAACAGTTGGTTGATGGTGGACGGAGAATAGGGCTCCAATGATAATATCACCAGGCATGTGTGCAACCACCCTTCTTTCATTGGACTGTGCAGAAACCAAAAGCCTGAAGTTCCCACTGACATCTTCCTTCAATAACAGGATTGCAAGGAACAGCAAAAGGACCATTTTAGGAAATAGTTTAAGCTGGTAGAGACAACATGATGAAAAAAAAAAAAAAAAAAAAGGAAGAGAGAAAGCTGATAAAAAGCAATTATCCAATCTTTTGGATGAAAAGCGCAGAAAGCTGATGGTTAACCAGGACTTTGCACGTATTCTCTAAGGAATCAGCATCATCTCCAAGTGGATAGTTATGCAGAGCTGCACATGTGATCATAATCCTCATAACCTTCAAAAAAAATGAATAAATAAGAGAAAGAGCTTTAAAAGGAATCGTAAAATCAGTTTCCTAATCTGTTTTAAACWTACACCTATTTCTAATGCTGTCAATGGTTGTAACACATTGTCCCACATACGTGTGCTTCAATCATTTTCCACATGGGAGAATTCTGTAGGAATTCAATGTTCCACAATTTTACACTTCTGCTGCTATAAATCGGTGTCATTTGTTTAGATACTGTTGCATGAAATTATTTTGGGAAATGTTCTGAAAAAGCACAAACAAAACAAAAGCAGACAGGTATCTAATTACAGAGGAGAAAGATGTTGCCATTTATAATGCATGTCTTCAAAAGAGGTTTCCGTTACTTTCAGGCCCTTTCTATACTACGAATGCAAACATCACACCAATATAATGTGGGCCAATTGGCTGTGCTGCCAATTACACACTGAAAACCCTAGAAAGTGCTGTTAATAAGCAGCGCTGTTCCTCTGCTCATTTTAATGAATGCAGAAACCAGTATTTCACATCTTCCTCAAACTTCTGTTTTTGCTTTGTAAGATACATGCTGCAGTAATGAAGCAATGGATTTCTTCCACTTCAGAAATATCATATTAGTGGAAAGTTTTTTATCTTTTCCTATCCTTAAATCAAAAATCACCACTATTTCAATGATTCCTGGTACTGTAAACAGTTACATAGGCTTTGCTGATAGAAAGAAAACAATACAGAGACTATGAAGATTCATTATGCCTAAAAATATTTGATCTGCTGTGTTACTACAGAGTCTGAAATGCAATATGTACTTGGATTTGTTACTGATTGAAGATTAAAAAAAAAGAAAAAAAAAAAAAGAAAAAATAGAATCAGCAAAAAATTCAAAAATTCCTATCCTAGGTTGCTGGATTGTGGTTAACAGAATGAGAAAATGCCCTGTACCTACGAATGGATTTGTAGCACATTGATTATGGTTTCAAGTATGTTGTTTAAACAGTAGTTTCTTCTGGTCTTAATCTTTGTGTACATTTAAGTATTATTCATTGCTCTACTCCTGCCAATGGATTCACTGATAGTACAGAAATATAGACACACATTTAAATTTAAAAAGATGTTGTCATGGCAAATTTCATTATTGACAAAATGGTAAAACTCTGGGACAGAGTCTGATGTCAGTGTTACTGGCATAAATCCCTTGATGTAATTAAAAATAAACAAAAATAGGAATTTCCATAAAATCCAGACCCAGCAGTCACTTTTCATATGACTCTTATGCCCAAAATATCTCTGACAATTCTGAGACACCACAAAGTGATGGAAAATCAAATAGCATCAAAATTGAGCAGGAGTTTAGTCTTAAACTCACCAATCATAACTGATTCATTTAAGATAGTGCCATAGTGAAAACAAGGTTCTTAGTTTGAAGATGAGATACTCAAACCTGAAGTTTTCTACTTGAGGATAGCCTTTATTATTATTTTATCATGACACCTAGAAATTAGAGAAAATATTTACAGAGAAGAAACTCATGTAAGAGCTTCAGTGAATAATTTGAAATGAWTGTCCAAAAAGTGAAAACACTGCCAGAAATAGTTCCTGTAAAATTAATTGAAATATGAATAGATTCATGTAATATTAATTTCTAAAAGAAAATAATAGAAATTATAGAATTACCATAGAATTACCATAGAATGGTAATAGAAAATGTCAATAATGAAACACTCAAGCAACTGTAGAACAATCCAAACATTTTATAGTTTGTGATGTCTTGGATTATCAATACTGCAATCCTTTGCCCCTACAAAATAAAGGGAGTAAATTCAGATTAACTAGTTGTTAATTACAGAAAATCACTACTTCTTATGTCTTCCAACTGCTTTTTCTGTGACTCTGAAGACAGTACAGTATAATCTGTAAACAGTCTCGGKCAAGGGGTAACTTTGCATAATATCAGTCTATTAAAATCTTATACCTACAATGGATTTAATGTATTATCACATTTTAAAAGACTTTTGATTATTTATTAGCTTATTATTCTTTCTTTTCAAATGTTARTGTATTATTTAAAATTATAGATGCTTGTTTTTCAGAGCTTCCTAAATTAAGGATGTGTATGACAAATACATCTTTATCCAGACCAGATTCTAACCCTGTCTCAGACCATAACTAGAGCTAAAATTAGTTTCTTTCTTATAACCATACCTACCTATGTACCTGCATATGCACAAATACAGAGATTTTAGAGGAATATGGGTGAGTATGTTCCCTATCCATCATTTCAGGATAAGGAGTAATGGGAATAAATTAAAATACAGGAAGTTCCATCTCCATGTGGGGAAGAACTTCTTTGCTATGAGGGTGACAGAGCCCTGGAAGAGGCTGCCCAAGGAGGTTGTGGAGTCTCCGTCTCTGGAGGTCTTCCAAACCTACCTGGCTGCCACCCTGTGCCACATGCTCTAGGTGTCCCTGCTTGAGCAAGGAAATTGGACTAGATGATCTCTAGAGGTCCCTTCCAATCTCAATCATTCTGTGATTCTGTGATTTTAATTCTATAAAACACATTGCCTAGGTCTGTGGTCAAGTTTAACAAAATTATCCTGGGAATTATATCTGTAAGTTAAATAATTTCTGTATAAGATGAAGGGGGAAGAGGGGCAGCAAGACCATTTTTATCTTCACTTGAAGGAACAGATGCTCACTGTTCTTAGTCTACAGCTATATCTATATCAGTTTAAAATAACAAAGTAAAGAAGTAAAGTTGATGGTGTCCTTCATATTTCTCACTCAACAATATCAGCAGAACTCATGGCTACAGGGTTCGTAAGGGCAAAAAGCAAATTATCTAAGCAATCAAATCCTTATACTTCATGGTATCCAAAGGACAAGAAAGGGCCAGATTCACCTGGAATTGCTCCAGAATTAATGGAATTATTTCACGTACTCCATTGCACTAAAGTGAAAGCCAGTTCATTTGGGACCTACAATATTGTTATTAATTGCACCAAAATACTTCTTTTTTATGGTACGGATCTAGGACTCATGTCCAAACGATATGAAATCTGCACCTCTGTGGATATTTACAATGCAGCAGAATTATCTGGAATTTACGCTAACAGCTAAGTGAGCCTACTAAGTATGGATTTGTGTAATAAGGAGACAAATCTCTGACTATGGAGCCTACTCTTGCTCCCATAGATCATAGAAATCACAGAATTGCTGAGGTTGTAGGGGACCGCTGGGGATCTTTTAGTCCAACAATGTGCTCAATGCAGGGACAGTCAGTGCAGGATGTACTGACCTGTGTCCAGTTGAGTTTTGAATCCCTTCAAGTACAGAGACTTCACAACCTCTCCAGACAATCTGTCCCAGTGTTTGACCATCCTCACAGCAGATAAACCTTTAAATGGATTTTCCTCTATTTCCTAAGTTTGTACTCATTAGCTCCTGTCTGCTCACTGAATATGCCACTAGAAGATGGCATGACGGATGGCATACTCATATGGAATATCTTAACTGGGTCAAAAAGAGGGTTGTGCAGTTTGGCTCACTAATTTTTCCCAGAGAACACCTCCAGTCCTTCCCGAGAAGAAGGCAGCCAAGGAAATTGTCCAAATACATGATTTTACTGCTACCCTGTCCCAAGGCAATCACATGTAAGTTACTCCATGATTTTTTCCCATTCTTTCTTGCTACAGGAAGCTTATTGTTCTGGGAAGTATTATTGCTGAAATAGAATCAAGCAAGCCTAATAAGTCTAAGAATAGCTTCTGTGTTAATTGTTTGGGATAAGCCTAAAAGGAGTTTCATATGCTGTAGGCCGAGAACAGAGGTAGTAACAGTAACAAAGACAGTGAACTCTTAAAAACATACATCAAGTAGTGGCAATTGTTTCCTGGTTAATAATCTGTCTGTGTTTCCTTGTTTTCATTGATGGACAAGCAAATCAAGCTGCACAGCGCTTAAGGTCAGAATTCATTTTCACACTGTTCAATTTCTTTGACATCAAGGGAGTTACTCCTAATTTACTGCAATATAGGCAAAATGGAATCAGGCACTTAATTACTAGTGTATCAAGGTTCTTAGCTTATTTCATCTGTGGATCTAACTCTAAATTAATCTTGAAATCCCATGCTAAAACAATAAATGACACACAACTCTCTCCTTTGTGGCACTAGATTCGCACTTGGAGCAATTGCAGAAGCCGTAGGGAAAAGGAAAGATGATTCTGCCAATCTGTCCTTTGCTCATTCTTGCYTTAGACAGAAATTTAAAGGCTTTCTTAGATGATGAAAAGGTAATGAATTCACAGATCTGATAAAGAACCCAACGTGTTCCTTTAACCTCTGCTCTCCCTGGCAGGGAAACTTAATGTCAGTCTCTGTCAGGAAAAATTCTCAGCTGTTCCTTTAGGGCAGAGTTCCAGCTACTTCATGTTGAGGTCTAACCAGCCAGAAAATGAGCATCTGTAATATTCTGTGGAACATCACATACTTCTTAAAATGATTTATTTCAAACTCAGAAGCAAGTACTTCTGTGATCACAGTCTGTACAGACCACAACGAGCCCTAATATCATACTGCAATAATTAACTCTTGCTTGTTCAGAAAATAAAGAAGTCAAACAGCAGCTCAGCAAAGGGCTATTTTTATAAGCATTGCTGGGACTTTATGCATGAGGCACTTAAGATTTTCTGTATCAGTAGATATAACTGTATTTAAGCCTTAAGAAATCGTTTCCCCTGTGACTTACGTTATTATAGCAGCGCCCACTAGTGACTCCAGAGCGAAGAACCTGCCTGATTTGCTGTCTGAATTCTCTCAATTGTGCACTTCTATAGGTAAGATACAAATCCAATTAAAGAGAAGATTTTGATTTATTCTGTTTTTATCAGGAAAATATAAAGGGAGGAAGAGCAATATTTTTCTTCAGATTTCTTTTTTACTACAATTTAGAAACTTTAGTAACAGAAAAAAAAACATGCTCTTCAAAAGCTTAAATCRTATTAAAATCATATTAAAATAATTAAAGTAAAAATATGAGTTAATTAACCACAGAGAAGTCTTGTAATGGAGTGAGAACTCAGAGTACACTCCAGAAAATCATTTAATAATGTGGCCAGTGTTAAGCACATGAAGAATCCTATTGGTTAGACATATCTAAAGACTCACCTAAAGTTAAACATCTCTTTAAAGGATTTACTGAATCAGAACAATAATATGTATATTGCAAAAATATATTTATAAAGAAAAGCCCCACTCTTCTCTCCTTCCTCTCCTCCTCCCCTCCCCCCMMMAAAAAMCAACAAACAAACAAAAAACATCAAAAAAGATATGGTGCTAAAATCCATGTGCAGTGATAAATGTTACTTATACCCTGCAGACCCATRACTGCCAATGAAATGTTTTTCAAGCATTCATTTACAACAACTAYTGCAACCAGTTCAGTGACATCAGATATTAACTGTATATAAATGAAATCAATATATTCCAAGATATTAATACAGGTTTCAGCATAAGAGAAGATAAAACTTAAAAGCAGCAGCTGAAATACCAGCTTACAGAGTCAGTCCTGCAACTCTTCCTCGTCCTATATATCTGTATTCTGTATATCTCACAGTATAGYGCTTTGGATATAGAAAGGTGGAACTGCTTTGGAAAAACAATTATATAAGGAGAGAGGCCTCYTAGCTCTTCTCAACAGGGAATAATTTGAGAAAAAATAAAAAAAGCAAAAGTATGCCTTGAGGATGTTACACCTCTGCCTAGGTCTGCTGGCTATTAATATTGAAAGCTTTAAGCACTGAGTTCAAGGTATTCTGACAATCTAATTCTCAATACTATAAAGAGGTTCATTTTGAAATATGTCCCACACACCTGCTTCTTGGAGTGAAAACCTGATGCACAAAGATCATCTTTAGCTGAAAAAAAAACATTGCTATGCTTTATTTTGGGATTTTTACTGCCATTTAGCCTTACCATTCACTAAAATAAATCAAATAGCTGTTAGTCATTTCACTAACATAACTCACTAAGCTTTGAATTCCATCAGGCTTTGGATCAAGCCATTTGACAAAGTGAACAGCCTTATACAACAGGATAGACTATGAAACTAGTTTTTCCTTTTTTT